ATCTCTCATTAAGTTGGCTATATTTAGGACTATTTTATTAGATCTCTAAAAGAGCATTTTGAACTGTGTTGTTAGTTTCCAGAATATTGAATGCTTTTGAAATCAGCTAGCCCAACTTTTTAACATGTAATAAGAATCTGTCAAACTACACATTTCTGAAGTGTTTAGAATTTTAGGAAATTATGTTTTCCATTTCTCCTGTAGTTACTCAACATATTCCTATCAGTCCTCGTGATGGGAATTTCTACTTAAAAGCAGCTGGAGTGTTATAGCTACAGTCTATTTTTAACTGTATTGAAGTAACTAAAGAAATGTCTGGCTTAAGCGTGACTTATTTAAATAAAAATTGACCAAATTTGACCTTCAGGTAGCAGTATAAATTTAAAGCTCTGTAAGGTGTTTTTCATGATTTAAAATTCTAATCCTTGGGCTAGATCTTCAAAATGCTAGAGACAAACTATTATTTCTATCTATGTTTCTGTCAAGCAGGTCAGAGAAGGTAGAGCTTTAGGTTAATTCCTTTGTTGCATTTAAAACAGAGGGAAAGGCATGTGAGAGAGCAGTGTACTTACTGTACCTTGTCTCCTCTCCTCTCTCTAGCAGTAATCACCAAGTTCTTCACTCACTGCCAGTTGTAGCAGGACCAAAATGATGGCAGCCGTTGGTTCATTTGTCTTCATTCTGGCATGTTTATGGGAAGTTATAGCTCCATATTTGTGGTACTTTTCTCTGAGAATATTCATTTGTTTTAAAATATAGACTATTCATTTGTCTTTAAAATAAGTGAATGAGGAAATACAAGTCTCTGGCAGTAAATCTTTGGGAAAAAATAACTGATTCTCAGTAATAATCATAAATATAAACAAGAATCACATTTGTAATGAGTTTCTGGGTGAAGAACATCATACTTAGGGAGTCATAAGGGTTCAAAAATGAGGAAAATAGAATACTCACCATAACCTTCTATTGGGCACTATCTATACCCATAATACATGCCTTATAGATAAGGCATGATTGAAAAATAGAGAATGTTTAAACTTTTAAAAACTTAATTGAAGTAAAAGACACATTGCCAAGAGTGATAGGATAAATTCGAAGCAAGGGGGAGTATTTTGAGGAGTATCAATGCTAAGATATCTTACTGTAATTTTAAAAATTTAAATGTTCACCATATTCTTCAGTTACCCGCATTGATAACATTCATGGCAGTTTCTGTTACATAAAAATATTGCAATGTGGTCTCATTCATCTTACTCACTGGAACTTCTGGCTCTTCCTCAAAGTCAAAATGACCATGAAAAGTAGATGTTTTGAACTGATTGAGGATATTGAAGCAGCCATAGCTAAAGATACTCAAGAGAGACGACTTCCAGCACTGCTTCAGACAGTGGCAAAAACCATGCAAGAAAGGTGTTCAATGTGAGGGAGAGATCTATTTTAGGGATTAATTAATTAAACAAATGTGGTTTTTTGTTTAATAACACATTTTTGTTTAATAAACATTCTTTTAAACTTTCACCATATTTGTCAGTCATATTGCATATCTCAGAGGTACCCTATTGTGCCTTGTAGTTTAATAGCCTTATAGTTTGGTTTAAAATACTTCTTCATTGTATCAGTGTCTAAATTCCTTAAATATAAAAGTTCATTGCTCAGCACAGACTTGGTATTTGATATGTATATGTTCAGTGAATTTGTTAAAAGAATGAAAAGCTGTGATTCTGAAATGGAGATCTAGTTCAGGATTTCTTGTGAACTTTTTTTTAATACTCAGTAGTCCCTATCCCTTAAATCTCTTGGGCATGTGCACTTTAACATGTATTTTAACATTATACAAATACTCAAAGATACACAAGTGTTGAGAGAATGGTAAACTGCACTTCTTGTGTGCATGTAAATGGTGTCAGCATTTTGCCCATTTTGTTTGATCTGTCTTCCCAACATTGCTCTGCTGGAGCTTTGAAAGCACATGTACATGTTTTTAAATAGTAAGTTTAGACATAGAAGTAGAATAGCATGAGTCTGTCTGTACTTATCACCCCTGCTGGAATGTGTTAAGGAAAATCGCAGACATTATGTCATTTCACTAGTAAGTAAGGCATGTCTATTTTAGTTAAAGCTCTACAGGAGATTCTAAAGCTCCTTCTTGCTCTAGATATATAAGCATGGAACAAAATGTAGTATTCCAGAAAGAGTTATAGGAATCAAAGGCATAAATAGTCTCATTTAGTTTAGTGGATATGAAGTATAGCGGATGAAGTATATATTTTCCTTACAATAAGTTCAGTCACAACAGATTAGTAAAAAGCATGTGTAATAAGTTTACATGACATGGAAATCTTCATAATGAAGGCCTGAAGAAAAGAATAAACCTGTGTATTTTTATTTTTGTTGAAGGAGGGAGAGCTGGAGAAATACAGTAAGGGAAAGATTGTGATCTAAAGATAGCAAGAGGATGGGAACTTGGCGAAGCCTGCTTCTGTGGAGCCCTGTCTGTGACCTTTCCCTTCCAGACAAGGACATGCCTTGCTTTGGGTATTGGGAAGGCGTGGCATATTGGAGTCTTAAGGCCTCATTTAGGAGGAAGTCAGAAAATCTTTTTTAGGCCTGATAGTCTGCTTTAGAGAAGCTGAGAGTGATTTTCCTGCAGCTTTTCTCAAATGCCAGTGTCATATTTTAACATAGAGTGTTCTGAACCCCATCAGAAACTCTCCATGAAGGATAGTATTTTTAGTTTTATTTTTTAAAATGTATTTGGTTGTTGCAGAGTCTCACTACATAGCTCAGACTCATAGTGGTCCTCCTGCTTTCAGGCTCCCCAGCTCTGGGATTATAGGCATGTGCCACACTATGCCCCGCCCCGACTATGGCCAGCTCAGCCCGCCCTGGGGGAGGGGCCAGAGTGGCATATAGTGCTGGGAATCGAATTGCAGACCCTGTGCTTGCCTAAGCAGGCGCTTTAATCCGCTGAGCTATCTCGTCGGTCCTGAAGGATAGTATTTTTAATATAAAGTAGTTTTAGTGTACAGTTCTATGTATCTTTACATATATTTGTATATACATATCTGTATGCATATATAAATGCATATCCTTTTAACTCAGATCAAGTTAATTAAAGAGTTTTAAAATTGTAGAGAATTTTTTTGTACTGCTTCTTAGTCAAAGGAGAAATTACTTCTATTCTGACTTAAACACCAAAAAGAAATGCACTAGTAGGGTTTTTTGTTTTGGTTTTGACAGAAAGAAGTGAGGGAAAGACCACTCCAGATGCTTGAACGTAAACTGTTTGAAAGAGCAGTCCTCTGAGCATAAGTTGTGGTGTTGATTGGTACTAGAGTCTTGGTCTGTGATTTTGGATTTTAATTTTTGAGGCAAAACGAACTTAGACTGGGCTGTGCTGCGGGGTAACATAAGTAGCATTGGACTTTGGAATCAAGAGAGCAAGCAGGATGAAGATACAGGATTAGGGGATGATGGCCTTCACTGTGGTTATATGAGGATGAGAAATGAGGTAAAACAGGAGCTGTTTCACAGCTCAACTTGCCTGAGCAACCGGTCCGTAGCTCAGTAAGAAGAAGAAGAAGGGATGGTAGGAAACAAGCCTAGGCTGACTAGAAACCTGGAAATAGATACATCTGGAGGCAAAGTGCATTGGATGAAAACTCCACATCTTCAGCTTTATATCTAGTGACAGAACATCATGGAAGAGGCCTCACCTGGGAAAAAGGGACAGGGTTTGTCATGGTTTAGATCAAGAAAGTTGCCCAGAGGCCTCTTGTATTGATGAGTGGACTTCTGTAAGGTGATTAAATGGTGGGCCAGTGTAGCTGCCTTGCCCTTAGGAGGTGGAGTGCAGTGGGAAAAGGCAGGTCCCTGGGTGTGCCACCTGGAAGGCTATGTCTTCCCAGCTCCTCCTATTCTCTGGTCCCTGGTTGCCATGATGGGAGTTGCTTTCCTGTGCCTAGGCCCTTGATCCCATTTCTGTGTTTAAGCCTGCTGAATATTGACTGAAACTCTAAGCCAAGAAAGCCTGACCACGTGTAAGTTGTGGGTATCAGATATTTCCTTTCAGCAAGGAAGAAAGTGACAATGACATACATAACTCTGGGGATAACAGGTGTTTTAAATATATAAGTGGGCTTGAATCATTTTCGAGATGAAGAAGACATGTTGAAGTTATTGTGTATTACAGAGTATAACAGGCGGATCACTAGGAGTCTGATCTAGTAGTGAGACCTTGAACACCCTGTAGGCCCTTCCCTAAAATATAAAAAACAAAAAAAGTGAGAAATAACATAGGTTAAAGGGGAAAAAAAACCCAAATCAACAAACCTTATTCTTAAAATTTTATTCTAGAGGCATTTCCTTTATAGCTTTTCTAATATGAAATTGAGTTTATTGGTATGGAAAATGATAGCCTGCCTTTATTGATTCCAGTTATGTATCATCCTAATTTTAACTTTTTAAAATCTCATACTGAAGTCAGTTATATCCCATAAAAGTATTGTTATCTTTTTCCCGCAAAAGAAAAAATTTACAGAAATATTAAAGCTAAAAATGCAGCAAAGACTATATCAAGTCCTATATTGATACAGTCAGTATAAAAAGCTAAGGTAAGGGCTGGGACATAGCTCAGTGGTAGGCTGTTGTTCAGCATGCTGGCTTTGGGCTCGGTCGTAGGTATAGGCAGTGGGGTCGGGGAGGGTCTAAGTTATGAACAAAATACATTTAAGAATTTGTTTGAAGACTGAATTGCTGTTTTTGAAACTGACAAATTATGTTTTACTTGGCAACCTTTTGCAGTGTATTACTTGCTATATATTTTGATATGGAATTTTAAGTATTCATTGCAGGTTTTTTCAGTGAAAGAAAATTACCCATTTAAATGCATATTTTAAGCAGTAACAATAAAAGTAGAATATGTTTATGAAGAATAAAAATGTAAGTGCTTTTTGTTATGGTAAAAAGTAATTAATCTGAAATCTGTCCTTAACAAATTTCAAGTATACAGTGCAGTGTTGTTGCCTGTGCCTGTATGGTTATACAGTAAATCTGTAGAAGTTTTGCGTCTTGCATGTACAAAATTGTACTTACTGAGTAGTCACTACCCATTTCTGCTTTCCTCTGGTGCCTTGTAACCTCTGTGTTTTGTTTTTGTTTTCTGATTTCTTTGAGTTTGACTATTGTAGATACTAATATAAGGATAATTATGCAAAAATTTGACCTTTTGTAACTAGCATATTTCACTTAGAATAACATCTTCATGTTATACCATATGATAAACTTTCTATTTCAAGGCTGACTCTGTGTGTGTGTGTGTGTGTGTGTGTGTGTGTGTGTGTGTAATTATTCCTAGATGTCATTTTGGTTGTTTCTATTGCTTGGTTATAATGACAGTAGTTTTCCACCCCTGGGTTTGCTTTCCAGTTTTAGTTACTTGTGGTTAACCATGATCCAAAAATATTAAATAGAGAGCCAGGGAGATGGCTCAGTAGAATAAGCACTTCTCTGGTAAGTGCAAGGGCCTGAGTTCAGTCCCTGGTTCTGCAAACAAACAAACAAAAAAATTAAATAGGGCTGGGGAGATAACTCAGTGGCATAAGTGCTTGCCTCATAAGCTTAAGGTCATGAATTTGATCCCCAGTATCAAAAAAGAAAAAAATATTAAGTGGAAAATTCCAGAAATAAAGTATTTCAAATTTTTGTTTTCATACCATTCTGAATAATAGGATAAAAATTTCTCATCCTGCCCTGTCCTTGGGATGTGAATCCTCCCTTTGTCCACACATCCACACATGCACTTCTTGCCTGAGTTCCTAAGTAAGTTTCTTGATGGTTATCAGATGAACTGCTGTAGTATCAGAGTTGTGGGCGGGTGACTATTTAGACCCCAGAGTACAAAAGTAGTGATGCTGACAAATTGTATATGGCAAAGACAAGCTGCAAAGTGCTTGAAGTGAAAGTTCTTGATTTTTTTTGGCCTCACTGTGTAGTTTGGACTCGTAGTGCTTTTCCTGTTTTCAGCCTCCCAAGTGCTGGGATTACAGGCTTGCACCACCATGCCCAGTCTCGATAGCCATCTCAGCTTGCCCTGGGAGTGGGGCTGGCACAGCACACTGAGGATCAAACCCCAGCTGGCTGTGGGCACTTTAGTCCACTGAGCTATCCGACTGGCCCTTGAAAGTTCTTGATTTAATAAGGAAAGAAAAAAATACATATATTGCAATTTCTAAGGTCTATGGTAAGAACAAATCTTTAAACTATGACATTGTGAAGAAGGATAAAGAAATTCTGTGCTAGTTTTGCTGTTGCACCCCATGTTGAGAGAGTTATGGCTGTAGTGCCTAATAAGTGCTCAGTTAAGATGGAAAAAACCCTTTACATTTGGGGTTCTCTACTACCTGCAGTTTCTGGCATATACCCAGGGTCTCAACATATGCCCTGTGGGTATAAGGAGACTTCTGGAAGTACTATGTTTTGTATTTTAGGGAAGCGTCTACAGGGTGTTCAGGGTCTCACTACTAGACTTTACTCGTAGTGATCCGCCTGTATGCACCCTCCCAAGAGCTGGGATTATAGGTGTGCCACCATCCCCAGTCGCAATTGCTGTCTCAGCGCACCCTGGGGGCAGGGCCGGTATGGCAGGTCCGTTAGAAGTACTTTTGTCTCACAATTTAAAGTGCAGCTTGAAACTTTTTAAAATTGACTTGTATTTCTGATGTCTGAGCATGAATGTGTTTTCTGCTTTTCCTAATATAAATAATAATGGAGATTGTGTAGCAAAGTATTTGTGCCTAAAGTGATCTATAATAATTCTAGCTATTTAAGTTTGGATTTAAAAAAGAACACTTGTCTTTTCATATTTTCTCTCTATATAACTTTATATAGAGAAAAAATATACTATATATAAATACGATTTTCTAATGGTGAATAAAAATTTAGGGCTAGATGAACAGTTCTAGGAAGTTTTACAGAACTATACTTTAGTGTCCTTTAGTAATGCCTGTTTTAAGTTATTTTCAGCATAGCATGAGTATCTTATGTAGGGTAGAATTTTTGTTTTATATTAGGCTTAGTCTTTATGTATTTTCATCACTAAATTTGACATTTTGGGTTGTATTGGCAGAGGGAGGTTTAAGTTCTAGCTGTGGGACCTGTTAGAGGACATCTTAAGCTTCTGGTTCTGCAGAGTACACAGTGAGAAATGTATGAAGATCAGGAAGAAAGATCTTAAAGTCCATAGTGTATAAATGATGGTGTTCACATTCTAAGTCAAATGATGTTATGCTATCATTCTTGTTGCTGTTTTCCACTTGTTCAGTTCAAGATAAAAAGAACATTTTACTTATTTTTCAGATACAGCAGAGTATTATTTTCTTCAGTACTGGGGATTTTTCAGTACCAAGGGCCTCATCATGCATGCTAGGCGCATGTTGTGCAAGAGCCTCGTTTCTCACAATGTATAAAGTGGGAATAGTTGTGTTTTCTCCCCAGGACTGTGCAGAACGAGAATATGAAGTGAGAACAATGGCTCAGCACAGCCAGATACGTCCTCTCCTTTGTGTTGCCAGAGCGCCAGAGGACAGGAGTTCACTAATGAGTCCCTGCGTGAGATGGTTTTGTGTGAATGTCAGATTGTTGATGAGTTCTACAAAATACAGGAAATGGGGTTGCTAATTCTACAAATTACATATGAGAAAAAATGGAATTGATGGAATTAATGCATATTGTTAGTCATATTATAAGATTTAACATGTTCCTTAATTTTCATTTTAAAAACTAGTAATGTTTTAAAAAAATCTATTGATATTGCTATAAAAGATTATTATCTGTGTTGACTTACAGAGTATTGTTACAATCACATTTGAAGTGCCAGGAAATGTAAAGGAAGAAAGTCTAAATGTATTTATTCAGGTGAATACCGTTTTTAACTGATTAATAATTTATCAGCTGTTTTGTTGCATAGTTGTTGCTGTTAGCAGTGGTTGCTCTTATTAAAATATGTCATTTGATGCAGGATCTCCTGTGGGAGAAGAACGTGAGAAACAAGGACGATCACTGCATGGAGGTCATACGGCTGAAGGTGCAGTGTGCGGGTTACCTTTGTGGGCTTCTGGGCAGAACCTGCTTTCAGCTGTTATATAAAAACTAGATTTGGTTTTTTAGACAGAAGCACTGGTTTCAGCACAAATAACCTTTGTCTACTTTTATTTCTGTTATTTCCATTACTAACAAGGAGCTTTCAAAATTACTGCAGAAAGCATGATTTATTTGCATAGCTTCATTTAGTGGTGCAGCTGAAACAATCTGTAGGCTTTAAAAATGTTAGTCCCTGCTCTCATGCCCAGGTGTTCTACGCAGTTACCTGGTTAATGAGCTTGCCTCTGTCCAAGTTCTCCTCCTCTTGGAACACAGATTGGTCACTTAGAGAAAACTGCTTATTTTTCTAAGAGAGCTTCATTTAACAGGGAAATAATGTGAAAAATCCTGCTGGTGCTGAAACATATGCATTTAGCAGACACTGAACATTCTGTCACACTGAAAAAGTTACAGAGGACTAGAAGAATTCTTGTTCTGTGCTTGGAATCTCATTTATATTACCTGACACTTGGGTATATATTATGAAAGTTGTTTTTTCCCCAGAAAGCAGTGGTTCTAAGTGCACCCATCAGTCAACCGCCATTTGAGTATCTACTCTTGTGACTTCCCAAATGTGCATAAAGTTCTTACTTCTGTTAGTAACTAGGTTCTCTCCAGGTATGCACTGACACACGGGGGTTACTAGAGTAACAAACAGGTCGAGAATATGAACAGACTGTTTACATTTGGATTTCTTCACTCATGCTGGCTCTGCCTAGGATTAGTTCTGCAGAACAGCGTGGGTAAGTCCCAGTCTACTTCCATATCAGTCTCACACGAAGGAGCTAAGCCACATCCTGCTGCTGCTTTATTACTGCAACAGCATCAGCAGTCCACAATTCTAACTGGCTGAGCATTTCTACTGTAACTGCTTTTGTCTCCTGGTATTGAATGTGGAGTTATATTTTCTAGAAAAGTAGCAGTTTGGGCACTTACACTAATGTTGCCACCAAAACCTGTACAGAACTCAGTGGCTCTGCATCATCTTTGTGTCTTAGTCTCAGTCAGGATTTTGCACTTGCATGATCATTTCTTTAATACTTATCCTCTGATTTTTCCTTTAGCCTTCCTCCTGTGAAAACACTGAGGGATTCCAGGATAAAACAGAATCCCTTTGAGGCCATCCCTTCATTTTCCTGTTACAATGTGTTAGTCTTAAAGTCATCATCATGTTTACAGTGCAACTCTAGTGACAGCGAATGCTTCATATTTTTATGTAAATAGCACAAAATTGATACCTATATAAAATTATTTCAAGTAGTTTATGATAAAAATTCAAACCTGAAAGGCAGAACACAAAACTAGAAGAAAAGCAAGAAGGAAACATACCCCAAATACACAATTATGCCAAAAAATGTCGTTAGTAATGACTTGTTTGTGAACTTTTACACAGAATATAACAGCTTTTCTTCTATGCTACTATCATCTAGACCAATTTTTACAACCCATTTTCAAAACTGATTAGTCACCATTATCTTTTAACTTCTCATTTTCCCACTCAGTCTGTGAAAGAAATACCAAATTCTTGAGTGGATAATCAGCAGGCTATTGTACATAACATTTCATTTTGTTGTTTCAGTTTTTGTTTTGTGAACAGTTAAAGAACATATGTATTGGATTTTTTTTTATCAGAAAAGATTATTCTTTAAAGAATTAGTATACACAGAACTTTTTTAAATCTAGAGGTTTTAAAGAAACTTTTCAATGTACAAATAATTAGAATTAAATAATTTTCACTGCTTTAGGAGTTTGTATTTGAAAGAGAAATAGCAAAATATAATCAACATTTATGAACTGTTTCCACTTTCCTTGAGGCTGATTATTTTTCTTTGAGCAGGGGCTGGTATCAATCACAGACAAACAACAACAAGTGATTGTCCAAGGTGTCCATGAACTCTATGACCTGGAAGAGACTCCAGTGAGCTGGAAAGATGACACAGAGAGAACAAATCGATTGGTTCTTATTGGTAGGTGACAAAGGATAAAATTTCTCAAGAAAGGATTCAAAAAGGATCTAATGTGCTGCTTAAGCAGTGTTAATCAGATTCTCTTTTGTAACTAAGCTTATGGGTAATGTATTTGTCTTAATCTTGTGTTGACATTCTTGTGAACTTGATACACCTTTTGCTCTTCACACAGTTCCAGAAAAGTGAGAGCTCCATTTTGGTTTTGAAATTGAACTAGAAGTTAGATAATCAGTCATTCGATTACTTTTGCTTTTGTAAATGTTTGAAAATCAAGCGTTTAAAAATCTAGAATTGATAAGTCAACTGTGCCATTATAATAAGAATAATTTCACCGTGTTTTGTTTTGCTTGCAGGCAGGAATTTAGATAAGGACATCCTTAAACGGCTGTTTGTGGCTACTGTAACAGAAACAGAAAAGCAGTGGACAGCACATTCCAAAGAAGATCAAATTTGTCTATAGCACCAGAAGCATTTATCAAAAGGATTGGATAATAGAAATTAGTTCCCTACTGGCAATATTTCAACCATTATTCTTTGATGACTTCTTTTATGAATTCCAGTGTACTTAAAAATAATATTTATTTTATACAGTACATAGTGTGAATCAGTATATAAGACATTGACATTCATAAAATAAAATATAACATCAACTGAAGTTTTTATTTTATTTTTTCGGAGACAAGTGGTTCACAGAACTTTCAGAATTTGTATTGTAAGTTTACATATGAGCCTATTATAATAATGATGCTAAACCTCAACATTTTCCTTTAGAACTTCAACTGATTCCAAAGAGGTTTTGTGTTTTTTGTTTTTTTGTTTTTTTTTTCATTTATTTGGTATAACGTTTCACTGTGCAACTCAGATTCATAGTGATCTTCCTCTTTTCAGCCTCCTTAGTGCTGGGATTATAGGCATGTGCCACCACGCTGGGATTCGGTCGCTAGCTCAGTGCACCCCAGAGGTGGGGCCAGCTCGGTGTGCGGGACCAGGGATTGAACCCTGGTCCCTGCACTTGCCAAAGTAGGTATTTAGTCCACGGAGCTATCTTGCCAGCCCTCCAGAGAGATGTTATTAACAAAAAAGTTTTTAAAGCAGATAACTATCACTTTTTATTAAATAAGTCTCTTGTTTCTACAGACTTAGAAAGTAGAAGAAATTTGTATAGAAACAATAAAATCTCTATTTTTAAATAGTACCAAGCATTACTGTTGGTATGATGAAACTTGAACCATTTATTAATACATTGAGACTGTTATTTTATAACTACTTTTAAATCATTTTTACTGATACTAAATTCATCTTGGTTATGTGCACTTCTTTAGTTTCCAATATAATTAGGTAATGTAATGGTGGCAGAAGCCATCATTTGTAACTAACTTTTAGTATAATGTTCTTTATATAAATCATTGGTAAGCAGGCATCAGTTTTCTTCTATTTGTAAAGGCCATGTCAGCATAATTGTACAGTACTCAAATTGTTATAGTGCAGATGGAATTTCCCACACTACTCATTGTTAAGTATTATAGAAAGCTGTCGAGACCAGGTAGGTATGAACACCTGCAATCCCACCTACTCAGGAGGCTAAGGCAGGAGGGGCAACTTAAGATCCTGTCTGAAAGTAAAGTTGGTAATGGTGGGGGCTGTCAAAATGGCTTTTGGAATTTTTTCCCCAGAACTTTAAGTAATGGAGTTTTATCTGTTCTGTGTGGTTGTACTGGTTGGAAGCTGAGGGCCAGTTGATTGGTTGTTGTAGTTGTGTTCTTCTGAGTCATGCTGATCTTCCTTCCTCACTGTACTTTTAAAACATAGCTTCTCTGTATTCACTTAATTGCCTCCCGAACCCAACAATCCTCGGGTGGGCCTGCCACACGCAGCACCATGCTAGTTCAGTTCAGCTGGGTGTAAGAAGCTGAAAACCAGTTAGCCATCCACCACACATTGTAAGTCCCCCAAGTATAGAGTTGCAACACGTGTGATTTTTTTTCCTTTTCTAGCAAGGCGTGGTACACATTTTAATCTTCTACACACCTTAAATGATTCTTTTGGAAGCTTCCATCAGCTATAAGGGAAAGGGGCAAGAACACTGGAATGTAAGCTGTAGGAAGTGCCTGCGCTAGGTATGAGGCAAAAGCAGGTTGACCTATAGGATCACCTTGGGAAAAACATAAGAGCATTTGCCTTTCAGTTTTCAGTGGCTACCAATACTCTGTGAGCTAGAGACCCTAAGCAGACTCAGGGGCTTTTAATTATCCTCTAAGCTTGCTACCTGAAGTATCTTTTTGTGTGTGTTTTTTCTTTGCTTCAGTTAGATATATACAATTTTGATTTTTAAAAATGTCTTTGAAGCTGGAGGTGTAGCCCAGTGGAGAGTGCTTGACTGGCCGGAGTCAGGCCTTAGTTTCAATCTTCAGTACTGGGGGAAGTGTCTTGGTCCTGGAGGGGTAGCCCTGGGTTCAGTTCCCAAGCACAAATTAGTTAAAATTTAATTGTGGGTAGAAACTGAGGATAAACAAAAATATCTTTTTCTACAGGCTTAATCCCTAGATGGTGAATTTTGAAGGTGATTATCAACAAAGTAAAGCTAAAAGGCTTACAAAGCAGTTACCAGCCTTTTTTTAAAGATTGCTTTGGAATGACTCCCTCTTACTGAAATGCATTATATGGGCGGGACAGATAGGGAAAGAAGTGAACTCTACCTTTGAATATTGGGCCAGTTATCTATTTGCATGAGAAAGACACACTAAAGTACTTTTCTCAGAATGAGTCTTGTTTTCTTTTTTGAGACAGTGTCTCCATGGCCTTAAACTCACTAGGTAGCCCAGATTGGCTTTCATAGTTTGCAGCAATCCTCCTGCCTCAGTCTCTTGAGTTCTGGAGTGCTGGGATTACAGTTATGTGCCACCATTTTTAGCCATAATGAGTTTTAATATTAGAGGCAGTCTTACATTTTATTCTATTTATAATCAAATTAACTTTTTAGAGTGAGGTGGAGAGAAGATGTCATCCTGAAGTTAGAAAGGTTTGATTTTTTTTCAAACTAGCGTATTCTGGAAAAACACAACTGTTCAATTTTTAGGAAAAAAGTAATTAAATACTGTAGCGTGCCATTATGCACTAGGCTTCATGTTAAGTGTTGCAGGAGCTACATGGTAAGACTTGATGTTTAAAGCAACACTGTGGAATTCATGGACTAGGACAGTAAAGGTCCTTATTTTCCCCCTTGTTTAGTGGTGTGCCATTATAACATTTTCTCAAGCATTCAACTAAGATTTCATTGCTATAGCTCTTTATTATTTTACATACTTTGAATGACAAACCATAGTTAGATATAATTGATAAACCATAAAGTTGAAACTTGTAAAATAATAGTTTGTTTTTTAGTATTCCACATAGTTTAACTATTATCCAGTGTATTAATTCCAGGACATTTTCACAAGGAAACCCTGTATCCATTTCTTCTTACTCCAGCCTCCACTGTGGACTTGTCTATTTGGACTCTTGGTTAGCTTTCCACTGCTGGTACATACATATCTTCAAAGCTCATGACTTCAGAGGTTCCAGTTTAGGGTTGGCTGGCCCCTAGGCAGAAGTGTCCTGGTGGGAAGAGCTGGCAGAGGGAAGCAGAAAGGGAGAGGCAGAGAGAGGGAAAGCACCTCGGGACAAGAATGTACCCTCTGGTCTCCACCTGCAGTGACCCACTGGCTGTAACCGGGCCACACCTCCCAAGAGCACATTGAGCTGTGAGCTGTCTGTGAACTCATCCACCATGGAGTTAGCATCTTTTGATCTGGTCACCTCAGGGTCTCACTTCTAAACAGCCTTTTGAAAAGAGTTTAAAAAAAAATTCACACACTACCACTCTCTTTCATTTGTCCTCAAGAGTCCTCCATATGGTAGTATGTATCAGTAGCCAGTTGTTACTGCTGACTAGTATTCTGCCTCGATATATCACATTTTGATTTTTCCACTCATCAGCTATCTTGAATTTACACTTCTTGGCTCTTAGATCCTTTTCCCTCTGTTTTAATTTTTAAAAGAAGGTTTTGGATTTATAGAGAAGTTTGGCAGGTAAGGTTTTTATTTATTTTATTTTTTTTGTATTTTAGGGAAGGGTCTGCAGGGTGTTCAGGGTCTCACAACTAGATCAGACTCAGTGATCCACCTATTTACAGCCTCCCAAGAGCTGGGATTACAGGCAGGTGCCACCACGCCCAGTCTCAAGTGCTGTCTCAGCACACCCAGAGCAGGCCCAGGGATCGAACCCCTGGCCCCTGCGCCGCTGAGCTATTTGGCCGGCCCAGGCAGGTAAGTTTCTTTATCCTCTTTTCCCCATTATTACAAACTCACAATGATATGGGAATTGCAGTTAGTGAACCAATACTGATACATTCTTACTAAGTACAGTTTCCTGTGCTTAGGTTTTTTTTTTTGTTTTGTTTTGTTTTTAACCTGCTATCCTATGAGAATGACATCTAAAGTACCACTTCGCATTTAGTATTCCTGTCTCCTTAGACTCCTTGACTCTGACAGGTTTTTTGATGATCTTTGATGATAGTTTGGAGGGATGACAGGTACCCAAGATGCTCTTGGAATTGCTCTGTGTTTTTCTCTTGATTAGTCCAACGCCTGGGGAGGAAGACCAGAGTATTATTTTCATCCAGTCGTAACTGGATGGGTGCCTACTGTCATGATTTGTGATGACAGACGTTGGCCTTGATTACCTGGCTGAAGTTAGCAGGTTTCTCCACTGGAAAGAATCACCCCCTCGCCATACTGTACACTAGGAAGAAGAGCATTGTGCGGCCCCCACTGAATAGCGGGTCTGTGTGAGCCCAGCACTTACATACTGTATTTGGGATTCTGCAGCAGATTCCCCCATCCCTTCACTAATTTGCTCACCTGTATTTTTTCTTGCAGACAGGTTTATGTTTTATTTTGGCTATTAATCCAACACCACTTTGTTTAAAGCATCCCAGGTGTGACAAGGAACTCTTCTGTTTTTTCCTGCAAACCCTTTGACACACACCCATCAGTATGGGGTTTTGTTCTGTTTAGGGTAACATCTTTTTGTCCTTTCACTTGTGAATAACCCAAATCATAGAAGTTGGTTTTCAGAAAACTAACAATACCCTGTGTCCCAGGTAATGGGATTATTTTGCAGGTGAAGGAACTGTGCCCCTCCAGTAGGGCTTAAGGGGAGGCTTCGGGGACTATCACCTGTCCCAGCCCTCCTGGAGTTTAGTTGATAAGAGCACACAAATACTCCTTGGTAAATTTGAGACTCAAACACAGATCTGTTAGACTCAAGCTTTGTGTTTGTTTCTCTAACTTCAAACAACATGTAACTAGAGAGAGCCTTAGAGGGAGGATACAGATGAACAAAAAAATTGTTCTCTAAATTTACCCTGGAACCACTAGCTGCCTTAAATGTTTCTAATCCTGAAGGCATGAAGCTACTTCTTCATAGATTTTTGCCCTTAAAGATTCTGGCTTCTGATGTCTCATTGAAAATTTGTCATTTTAAACACTAATGGAAGAGTGAGTGGTGACAAGCAATGGCTTAACAATGCCATACATTTAGGCTACATTATTAGATGATGCCTCAAGTTTTTCTCAAGTAGGTAGGTTTTAAATTGTGACTATGTACCATGTCCTAGTATTTTACTGTAAGACCCCTACTTGTGTGCCACTAAAGACTTTGAACTGATTCATGTGAAGCCAGTAAGGGAATCCTGTTCCTGCAGGGATTTTGGGTGAGTGGACAGAGCTGCTGTCATCCTGCTGTGCAGAGCAAATACTAAACACCAAGCCACTGATACACCTAATGACGGTGGCACTCACCCCAGGCTTTCTTAATTGAAGTTTCAGGTTTTATTTTTATCACATTAAAGATGTTTAAAGTTTCTGAAATGACAGATTGAAAGAGATGAAAGTTCTCAGACATACACTAGGCACGGTGTTTGGTGTTGTGGGGCCAGTTTATGAAAACAGGATTTCTGTGATGAAACCATCTTGGTCATGACCACTGGGGGGAAGAAGGAAATGTCAGTCGTCACTACAGTGCAATTATATAGACTCCTGGAGCCTTTTCTAAGCACATATGCCTGTGTGTGCCAGAGAATGGTATAAATGTATTTTTTACTGTGGTGGTATGTTCAGAGAAGTTGGAAAATCACTCCTGTTAGGGGTATGGGGAAACTTTACTCCTCCTGCCTTCACTTTATCCTGAGCTTTCACAACTTAGTGCTAGAACATTTCAGACTTCTCTGAAAATCTGAGTCAGGGAGGACACTTGGGGCATTTGTGTGGTGGGTGGAAAGGCGGTGAAACACTCATTTTGGGCTGCAGTGTATAGTCAGAACATTAAAATAGTTCATTCTGCTGTTCTGCATGAGAATAGTACCCATCAACAAAAACGGCCAATAGGACAGGAGAGATAGCTCAGTAGAGTAAGTGCTTCCCTGACAAGCGCGAGGGTCTGAGTTCAATCTCCGCTTCCACCAAAAAAACAAAACAAAATAACAACAACACCAACAAACAAACAAAAAACAAAACAAACAAAAACCCGGGCGATTAACCAAGATAGGAAACACGAAAACACTCATTTACTCTTACTTATTCATTTTCAGACTCCAAATAGATTTCCGTGGCCCTCCTCCCCGCCGCGGAGTTCTGTCCTCAGGAGAGAAACCTCGAAGCTGAGGTAGCCATGGTTGAGAATCGTATTACCTTTCTTCATTTGCTCAGTTTTAAAAGTGCAATAGCGCAGTCTAGGCAAAGCAGTAGGCTGGCCAAACTCTGAGAGCGAGCACCTTCCCGCTAGCGGTGGGTGAGGAAGAGGGGGTGTTGGCCGTGGACCCTCGTTGGACTGCGTCAGGAGGAGGTGACCCCCCCCCCCCGTTCCCCCGCGATGTAGGGTGGAAGGGTATAAAGCCGGGAGTGCAGCTCTCGGGTCTCCAGGCAGCTTTAATAAAAGGCAAAACGTCTCCTTGTTAGGAGGTTTGCAAAGAAGGAGGTACAGAAAAACCTAAGCGGAGAGCCTGCGTAGGCCTCCCCGCGCGCCACAGGCGACAGCGGCCCGGCACCTGCCCTTCCATGAGCTTTCTGCGATCTGCGCGCCTGCGCCGCGCGCCGCAGCGCAACCTCCGAAGCTCGGGAGAAGCCTGCCAGGTCAACGTCCTGGGAGAGGAGGAAGATGAAGACGAGCACCCGGAGGAAGAAGACGCGGACCCGGAAAGGGGCCAGAAATGCCTAGAGCGGCAGCGCAGGCCGGGGCGCACTGAGGGCGGCGAGCTCGAGGCTCCGACGAGGTGCGCGGCGGCCCCTGGAGACGCTCCGCAGCCGGCCAAGCCCCCGTACTCGTACATCGCGCTCATCACCATGGCCATACTGCAAAGCCCGCACAAGCGCCTCACGCTCAGCGGCATCTGCGCCTTCATCAGCGGCCGCTTCCCCTACTACCGCCGCAAGTTTCCCGCCTGGCAGAACAGCATCCGCCACAACCTCTCTCTCAACGACTGCTTCGTCAAGATCCCCCGCGAGCCGGGCCACCCGGGCAAGGGCAACTACTGGAGCCTGGACCCCGCCTCCCAGGACATGTTCGACAACGGCAGCTTCCTGCGCCGGAGGAAGCGCTTCAAGCGCCACCACCCGGCCCCGGGAAGCCACCTGCACCACCCCTTCGCCCTGCCCGCACCTCCCGCCACCCTGCTCGGCCCCCATCCCGGCCTCGAGCTGGGGCCCGCGGGCCCGCCATCGCCTGTCCCCGGGAGCCGCCCGTGCGCTCTCCTGCACCCACATCCGCTCCGCTACTTGCTGCTCTCCCCTCCCACCTACACCGAGGCGCCCAGGAGAGCGGAAGGCGCGGACTTGGGGACCTCCGGAGCCCTCACAGCCCTACGGCCCTCTCCCGGCTCCGGGTCGTGGGAGGAGAGCTCTGGCTCGGCTCAGCGGCGCAGGGATGGGTGCACCTCCTTCAGCATCGAGAGTATCATGCGCGGCGTCGGCGCGGGAGCCGACCCTGCGACGCCCTGGGGCTGCTACCACCTGCTCCAGCGCCCGTCCTGCCTGCTGCATCCCCAGGCCGCCGCCCCCTTGCTGCACGTGTCCGCTGCCGCCGCCCGGACAATTTTGCAGCAGCAGCCGCAGCACCTGCACCAAGAGCACCAGCAGCACCAGCACCAGCAGCACCGTGCCAGTGGCTGTGCACCCAGCAAAGGCGCGCTGCTGGGCCGACACTTGTCCGCCGTTGCAGCCCTGCTGAGGTGCCCGCCGGCTGCTGAGGGCTCCAGGCTGACAGCGTTGGCCGCCGCTTCGGGCCGAGAGGGGGCCTCGCCAGCGCTTTGAGTCTCACCCACACCTGCCACCTTCCTCGCCCTCCCTCTAGGCCTAGGAGTCTAAACCTGGCGTCCGAGCAGCCACGGATTTCTCAGCGTAGTTACAAAGGAACAGTTGCATTGTTTTCCTAAAGAAACCTGGACTTGGTAGAGGCCTGGGCCATCACCTTCTCTTTCCTGGATCGGTCATGGCTTCTGCAGCTTTCCGATGTGCTCGTTTTCCAAGGAGCTAGGAACTGGAGCGGGGGTGTTCCGGTGTGGTATTCGAATAAAAACGAGGAAAACACAGTCCAACACAAAGCATGTTTCCCTTTCTTCCCTCCCTAGGAACTGCAAGTATTCTGAGGTCCCGCGCACAGTGCTTATGGTCTCAGTGTCTTCCTGAACTAAATGTGTAATATAAGTAGAGTGTTAACTTCGGACAGTTCATTTCTTGCCTGTGTCTGACGCGCCATAGACCATGAGGAGATGCTAATGCCCATGTCGATGAAATAAAATGCTAATACACCGTGTCGTTTTAAAAAAAATTGTGTCCCTTGCTTTCTAAACGGAATGTCTCTTAAAGCTTAATTTCCTCGCAATTAAACAATGTCTTTTTGGTTCATATTTCACTATAGATATTAGAACAACCTGTTTTCAGCATGGCTTTTAAAAATGCCTAATATTTGAGGTTGAAGATGTTGACTTTTAAAATGAAAGATTTAGGAACTGAGGGCGTACTTCAGTGTAGACCAGGTCCCTGGCACCTGTTCTTCCCCCAGCTCCGCAAAAAGGGTGAGAGGGTTACGGAGACGATGTTTAGAAAATCGCTAGGAGAAAATTAATCGGGAGAAATGTAAATCTATTCTTCATTTGTTTTCCATGTTTAAGGATATTTCTTCGAATAAGTTAATGATCATTTCAAATCAACTTGGGAGCTAGTAGACTTTTCTCAAGGTAATTAGGAAAAAAAGTGTGAGTGGGCGTGTGTGCGTGTGTACGCATACGTAACAGCATTCCCAAAGTTCCGGCTCTTCATTTCTGAAAGAGTACTTGGTTTCAGGAGGCTGCGTGCGAGGGAAACGAGGCCAGAACGCCCAAACACTGCTTGAAAAGAAAGTGCGTTCTACAGATCTGGTCCTTTTGAACTTCTGAACTGCACTGGCTCTAAACGTGTTCGTTTCTTCGCTGCCCTCTGCTGTGAATTTCTCACTTCGCGACGGAGGGAAAGCGCGAAGCCTCGGGTTTCCAGACGCCGAAGCGGCGGGGTGGCAGCGCCGCTTTGCTCCTCGCCCGCCCTCCTCCGCCCGCCCTCCTCCGCCCGCCCTCCGCGCGGTCCCCACCCCTCCCGGCGCGCTTTGGGGGCGCGCGGGGAAGTCGCCCCAACCAGCTCAGGGTAGCTGCCGGGCTGTGGGCTTTCAGGCGCCTTCCTCGATGCTCCACCAAGAGTGCTCCAAGTAGAGCATCCCTCCCTCGTTTTTAAGCAAATCGGGCAGGGCTAGGGCTAGTCTGAGAGTCTGAAACGAAACGCAAGCGGCCTGTCCCATTCCAGCCCTCCGCCTGTTAGTGGTTCCAATTCCTTTGGAGCGAAAGTTTCCTGGCCTATGTTGGCTCATATATTTAGTTAACGAGCATCCTCCCAGAGCCGGCTTCGGCCTGTAGCTGAACTGGGCCCCTCGGGGCTCACTCTACGTCCTTGGCGTTTCTTCCTGCTCTTACCGAGGCCAGACGGGAGCAATCGCGAACCCGGGTGACTGAGACTCAGACCCCAAGTTCCTAATTTTCCCCTAACGAAACCGTATCGAACTATGAAATAAGCGCTGTTCTCGGGTCCACTGGGCCCAGAGCGCGCGGAGAGGGGGCCCGGGTGGGGACCAGGCCCGGCCGAGCGCGCACCCCGCGGGGCTCGAGGTCTGTTCCAGGGGTTCCGTGTCCCGGCGTCGGGGCCCGTCTTGGGTCCTGGGTTTCAATCAGCCCCGCCGCTGGGGTGGAAAACAACATCGTGCCGGAATATCACGAAGGGTTGAGGGCTTGGCGGAGGACAGGCTGGCGGGGTGCGCTCGGAGGTGGGTGCTCAGGACTGGGTGCGCCCTCGGAGTTCAGCCCAAGAGCGGAGAGAAAGAAGGATGAGGGGAGCAGAGGCTGGGGCAGAGGAGCTTGGCGACCCGGGGGAAGGGACCCCACACGCGGTCCGGCCGTTACTGATTAATGACGCTGGCAATAGTAACAATAGCAGCAACAGTTGTTGCTTGTTTGCCTTTGGAGACGGGTTTTCCCTTGCGAGGCAGGCTGCCTCCTACTCGCCACGATCCTCCTGCCTCAGCTCCGCTGTGCACAGAAGAAATTTGTGCTGCAGAAAGGTCACCTCTGACGACGCCCCAGGAAAATGCGAAGGGCCAGGTGAGGCGCCCACCTAGTCGCTCCTCGCCACCCGGAATTAGCGCGCCGGGCGGAGGACGCCAGGGAGAAGCCCCAGGAGGTCCCTGCGTTCTGTCCTCCCTCGACTTCCCTGGTCCCCGCGAGCTCCCGGCACCCCTCCAGGCAGGCCCAGAGCACCGCAGCCATCGTGCAGGCTGCCGGTGGAGCCGCCAGCTCCTCGCCGCAGTCCCAACTGTGACCCCCTTCGCGTTGCGCCTGGAGGCACCGAGCTGGGGCTCCAGAGTCACACGGGCGGCCCCGCGCTGTTCGGGTCCTAGTCCACAAGGCTAGGGCGCAGAGACGGGAAGGGGCGTCTAGGATTGGAACGCCCGGGGCTGGCAGAAGGCCGAGAGCGCAGGAACCGTGGGGGACGCGCACCCCGCAGGCCGCCACCCGCGCCGCGGTGGCTTTCCGTGTGTCCTAGTCTGCGTGGAGCCCAAATTGAACGGTACCTGCTCGCACACTGGAGTGTAGCTAAGCATGTGGGAATCTTTTCAACTCTACAGAAGGTAGACGATCTCGACAATCACAGAACCAGGATAAAAATAAATGGAATCAAATGGGAGCAAGAACAAAACTTTCAGCCGGATCCGGCGATTGGCGTCCTGCACAAGGTCGCACCTGTCCTGTAGCACATTTTGCTGGAACTGTGGGAGGTTCATACCTCGTATCCACCCCCACACTTTCGGGAAGATGTTCAGAAAGTTCTTCCCACATTAAATCGGATTATAATCTACATAGTAATCTTCCTCTAGTTGCTAAAGTCACCTCCCAGTAATTTCTTAGAGTTGTTTTCATGGCTGCGCATTCCTATGTACACTGAAATGATTCAAGTGCGTTGTAAAAATTCATTAACTCCTTGTACACTACCAGCTGCAAAGAACTTACACAGGTGATAGGAAGAATATTAAATTTTTTCCAAAAATAAAAGATTGGAAAGAAAAGGAATTTGAGAATACATTATAAAATTCAGTTCAGTCTCAGTTCCCTATGGCTAATCCACCTTCATATAGTCAAGATTTACCTGGATATAAACTTCACTGTCTGATTCGTTCTTAAGATACAGGAATGCTTATTGAAATCAGTACTTAAACATATTTTGGGACAGTTAATGATTTAGTGAAGCAGTCTATTCCTAAAACAGGGCTAAAAGAATGAAGAAATTAAGTGATGTGCAAGAGATTTTCTTCTCTCCAAATACTATGATTTTGTTGTGTGTAACTAGGACTACCCCTGACTTTGTATTATGGTTCATAGTTTCTAAATTAGCGTGACTATTACTGTGTTATCCAGAGTAGCCGTTGAGTATGAATATATTGTGGTCTATTTCAAATGGTTTACTTTTCTTTCACTTTTAAAACTATTTTTTTAAATATAAAAATTTCAAACACATGCAAAGCTAGGAAGATTTGTATAATTAACCCGTAACAATTATATAGTACAGTGTTTTGTACCAACATTAACTCCTTGGCTAAGTCAGCCTTGTTTCATCTTTGCCATGTGATAGTCCTCTTCATACTAGATTATTTTAAATCAAATCTAAGATATTCTATCATGTCATCCATAAATATTTTTATTATTAATAAAATTAATAATAAATATTTTTATTATTAATTCTGATCTAATAGATCAGAATTCCATCCATGTAGCCACATTCTCAGTATCACTCCTAAATCATGGCTAGTATTGATTTAGCCTGGTAATATTTAAATATTCCCAGATACCTCCAAGCTGTTTTAAAGTTGGTTAAAAAAATAAAAATAAAAAATAAAAATAAAGTTGGTTAGCTGGAACTAGCATGGCCGTAAGCTCACACGTCACGTTTGGTTTTTAAGGTCTCATGTCCCTTTGGGGGACATTTGGCTTTCCTCAAGCCTCTTTTTCTTTTTCTACTTGTAAAAGTAGATTGTCATTTTTGATGTATTCTTGGACTTATAAAATTACCGATCAAATATTTCATCCAAAATTTAAGTTAGTTTAATTTTGATGAGAGTAAAGCTCTTTATAGCTTTAAAATTTTAGTTTTAAAGAATCAAGGGCACTTTATGCTTCAAAATTTTGTTTTATATTGTTTTTGTGTTTTAGAATGTAAAAGCTGAAATGTCATACTTCTCAGTGAGAGTTGGGGTGGGGCAATAGTTCAGATTTTGTGCTTACGAAAAACTTATTTTTGGCTCATTCTAAATTAATAAGAATAGGGGACCGGGGGCCTAAATTCAATCCCTGGTTCTGCCAAAAAATAATAATAAAATAAATAAATTAATTAATGAGAATAGATAATGAAAGAAGTAAGACTGAACAAAAAATGCATTTGACTATAAAAAATAAGTTTAGCAAAAATGAAGGTAGCTTGCTTTCTTGGGTACCAGGGATTGAACTCAGGACCTTGTACTTGCCAGGCAAACACTTATTCCACTGAGCTATCTCCCCAACCCCAAGGGTCCCTATCATTTTAATGAGTGTATATACTAAATGCAAGTTCTGTTCTTCTACTGCATGTAGGGCTTCTGTCTCCTTCTGCAGTTATTTGCTTAGGTCTCGATGGCCACCATATCTGGAATCTCTGAGAAGGTAGAAGCCAAATTGTACTCACTTTTACATTTCAAACAATTT